TGCTTCGATTATTTATCAAATATATGCATTGAGTATTGGGATTTATTTGCCCATGAATTATTTGGTTGGAAATTGTTTTGTATGAGATTAATTATAGTTTTCATATTCTCATGACAATGTACAATCTAAGTTGTTTCGTTAAAGGTTTTAGGTCTCTTATAATTGTGGAGACTTTAATGATATAGTTAGATACATTGATGGAGATTTATTATAGTTTTGATAATCTCATAATATATATATCAAATAAAATATTTCTAATTATATTATCTATGTAAAAAAATTTGTTAGTCACCAAAGTGGCCTAGTTTAATTTATGGAGTAGATAATTATATAATTGATGTCATGGATTATAAACTAGGAGGACACTCAAAGGTGGGCCATGGGTTTATAGTTTATGACAACTAAAAGAGAAATTATAATTAGAGTAGATTAATTAGTGATTTTTGTCCAAAGATAACCACTAATTGATCAAAATTTATATAATTTCTATTAAAGATTAATATTAAAAGAGAATTTATACTTAAAGTGATGTTAATTAGCGTGTTTGTCCAAAGATAGCCGCTATTTGACTCAAGTATGTATAATCTCTATCAAGGATTAATATATGAAAGAGAAATTATAATTAAAGTTAGGTTAATTAGTGTGTTTGTCCAAAGATAACTATTAATTAATCACAAGACCCTATAATTTCTGTTAAAGATCTTTCCTATTAGGCATCAATCAAGTATATTATATATTTAAATATTTGCCCAAAGGTATATTTAAATATATAATTTAAAAGATTTCTGAATCCATTAATTTTCTCTCAAAGCTTAATTAAATAGCATGTATTAAAGATTGCAGTGTTTAAATTTAGTTTTTCCGTCAAGTATTATTATTGCAAAATTCAATGGGTTGAACTTCAACGAATGGTCTGAGCATATACATTTTCAATTAGGTGCACTGAATTTGGATATACTCTAATTACTGATGAAGTACCCACAATCATTACTGGTGAGAGCTCCGAAGTAGAGGTAACTCTTCGTAGGATGTGTGAGCGATCAAATAGGCTGTGTTTGAATTTTATGAAATTAATCGTGGCGGATAACATTAAGGCTGATAATGCAAAAGAATTCTTAAATTAAAAAATCAAGGAACTATCTCCATTTAAAGTTACGGAAAAAAGTCTATTGTGGAAAGTTTCATGAGAAAGCTCACCACTATAAAAGTTCAACTAATTATGTTTCATCCATGATATCGTGTCTAACATGTTCAACATATAAGCTATACAAACATGAGAATGAATGTGATAGACTCATTTATGGTTTTATTCATCATGAACTCTCTACCTGTCAAGTTTGGTCAATCCTAGGTGAACTATAACACCGTTAAAGTTAAAAGGGACTATAAAGAAATTAAGGCTATGCTGGTGCAGGAAGAGACGGGAATAAATGA